AAAGCTTGGGAGAGATCGAACAGATTAAGCATTATGGTTATGCGAATAATTGTTCCTTAGAGTGATAGTGCTAAGGAATATTTGATTATAAGAATATTTTTGTGTTGTAGATAAATATCTAAAACGAAAATTATTAATTGATATAACTACTATGGATTTTTTGTTGGTACTCGTACCATATATGATCGTATTTTTAGATGACTAATGTTGCTGCAAAATTGAGAACCTTATGGATGATTATGAATGGAAATTTTCTTATTCAATTTATTCTTAATTTCTTGTCTATTTAGTATGGGTCATTTCGAATTAACACTATTAAGACAAGTGGAAAGTGATTTAATTGACCATTATGTTAATTTATGAGGAGACAAAACTTAAGTAGTAAGGTAATCATTATGTTCATCTGATGACTCAAGAAGTTAGAAAGAAATTTGGGAATAAGTCAGAAAAGGCAATAAGTGAGCAACATCCAAAATTAAAAGATTTAGGTCAATCTACTAAAAGAAAGTAATGTAATAATTAAAAAGTGTCATTAATGTATTGAACACTTTTTGAAAGATTACATGACATATAAAGAATGATTCGAAAAAGAAAAGTAAGCTTTTGGCTTTTTTATATTGCGAATTATTTGTTGAAATTCTTTTTAATACATGATAGGTTGACTTAAGTACTAATATTTATGTTTCTAATAGATGCAAGAATTTTTTATGGCCTAAACCATAAATTCAAATAAGAATTTCTTATTTATGATAATTGGGAAAAGTTTTGTTGAAACCATTGTGACACTATGTTTAATGTTAGACAATGGATTTTATTTAAATTATTTTAAAATTTTTATGTTTATTCAATTTCCCATAATTTGATTTTATTTCAAAAACTTTATATTAATGGTTTTTCATTTAAATTTGGTAATGATATTTATTTAAGAAATTATAATTTGTGAGTTATGGTATTATTGTTGATGATTTCTGTAAATTCAAATTTGATGATTTATTTATTAAAATCCTTTTGATCTTATATCATAATGTTAGAATTAAGCGTAGCTCAATTAACAGAAAATTTATCTTTGGCATAAAAGACTAGGTCAATATCTAGTGAAAGGTTAGGAAAATTAGTAAAGGATGTGACTCTTCTGAATCTAAACTTTACTGATTTTGATGTGTGTGTAGATTGTATTAAGGGTAGACAAACTAAACGCATAAAGAAATGAGCCACAATAAGTACATAACTTCTTGAAATTATTTGTAGACCTTCTGATGTTCCATCTTTTGGAGGAGAAAAGCATTTTATCGCTTTTATAGTTGATTTTTCACGTTATGGATATATCTATTTGTTGAATGAAAAATCTCAAACAGTGGGTACTCTTGAAGTATACATAAATGAGGTTAAAAAACAACTAGATAGAAAGTGAAAATCATAAGGTCATATAGGGGTGGTGAATATTATGTAAAGTATGATGAAACAGGTTAATACTCTAACCGTTTGTTAAACTCCTTGAAATGTATGCCATTTGTGTTCAATACACTTTGCTATACATGCTACAACAGAAGCGTGTACCTGTAAGGCGTAATCGTACTCTTATGGAATTGGTTAGGAGTATGTTAAGTAATTCCTCGTTACCCATAATGTTATGGATATTAAGTAATCTAAAGGGTACAAGTTTTACTATCCGAAACATAGTACGATAATTATTGAAACCGGTAATGTCAGATTCATTAAGAATGGTGAAATCAGTGGGAGTGATAAAAATAAGAATTTAATCATTTCAGAAGTTAGGGTACAAATATCTTTACCCATAACTTATAAAGAAATAATTGTTCCTTCAGTTGTTGAACCGTATAACAACGAAGAACAATTAAATGATAAAAAACTCTATAATGAGATTGTCACCAATAAATAGATTGTAGAAGAATCATAAGGAATAACATTAAGACGATCTCAAAGAGAAAGGAGATCTGCTATTCCGGATGACTATGTGATATATCTGCAAGAATCTGATTTTGATATATAGTAAGATATATACGGATCCAATTACATATTCACAAGCCATTAACAGTAATGATTTTACTAAATGGATTAGTGTCATGAATGAAGAGATTATAAAGAAATCTTCTCTCTAGTATTTAAGAAGGAATTTTTTAAAATATCATGGCATTAGTAGCTTATGATGATTTAGAGTTACATCAAATGGATGTGAATACAATTTTTATAAATAGGAGTTTATAAGAGGAAGTCCATATGGAACAACTTGAAGACTTCATATTAGAGAGTAAAAAATTCATGGTCCGTAAACTTAAGATGTCAATATATAGATTTAAACAAGCTTCCTCACAATGGTATATTAAGTTTAATGATACCATTATTTCTTTTGGTTTTAAGAAAAATACTATTGATCAGTGTATATACTAGAAGGTTAGTGGGAGTAAGTTTATATTTCTGATTCTATATATTGATGATATTTTATTTGTTAGTAGTGATCTTAGTTTATTATATAAAACTAAAAGTTATCTCTAAGAACTTTGAAATGAAATATATGGATGAGGCATCCTTTGTGATAGGAATAGAAATATTTCATTATAGATCACATTGATTTGGTTTTAGAATTGTCTCATAAAACATATATTAAAAGAGTTCTAGAAGATTTGGTTGGAGGAACAATATTATGAAAAAGTGCAAAGTAATTTATGATTACTTTGTCTATTATGAAATTTTAATTTGTAGCATGCTTTGAGGCTATAATTTATCGTTGCAGAATTTATTTCAGGACTTGGAGTTATGGGTACCATTTTCAGATTACTGAAAATTTATGCTGCAATTATTGATCTTCTTATATGAAAATTGATAGGTATTTTAAAGTTGAAATACTTTATCATTAAAGAAGATATTTAGAAACAACGAATGTCTATTGAAATTATAAGCACACAACTTATGATTGCAATGCATTAATGAATGGACTACCATCCAAGACATTTATGGAACATGTTGAAATAATGGGTTTTAAATGTAGTCAATGATGATTATTTTTAATTGTGGATTGCTTAAATAGTGCTTATATATATTTGACATTTTGCGCTAATTAAATATGTTTATGATATTTCTTATTAATTAATGTACATGTACGTATTGCTTTAATAAGTAGTAATAGGAATAGTCTTGGAAAAGACATTATTGTTAGATCATTATTGATACTTTTCATTTATAGACTATGTTGAATAGATTACTAGTGTTGTGGTACATGAAAAGGACTGTGTCATTTAAGAATAAATAACCGCCATGACTCGCATTGGTAATTTATTTACCATGGTATTTATGATGATCAATTTAATGAGTTAATCTGATTTATAGTGCACATTAATAACTATTTTACTAAACCACTACAAAAATTATCATATGTGCCAAGTGGGAGAATGTAAGATTATTTATTTAATTGTGGCCCACATGATTTGGACATGTGACATATTACTTGGTGGGTAAGTTAATAGATATCAATTAATATTATTTATTTTTGGTCAACTTATAATTACCTTTTGGTAATTACTTATTGGAGAAATGTTTTCCTTTCTTATTCCTTACTTTGATGGAAAGTAGAATTATATTACTATAAAAAAAATTGGTCCTCTCTCTACTTTTATAAAAGTGCATATACTCCATCAATTATGTATAATTAATGATACAACATGTAAAAGTTTTATGTGTACAAAAGGCCAAGAGAGAGAAACCAGTTTCCACCTTTACCTGTTGATCAAAGTTGCAGATTAATTCGTGGCCAAAGGATCTGGACGTTAGACTTAATCTCAACAAGAATTGATATCGTGAATTGAGGTATTTATATCTAACTAGTATTTATTTATGCATTATAGATATGTGAAAATTATAAAGTTCTAAGATATGAAATTCATGTAAATTTGTGATTAATGGCTTAACACGAATTATTATAGTTTACAGCCTCATGGGGATTAAATTTTAAATTTTCTTGCTCTTTGCTCTAGCTTTCTCTCCCATGCTTTGTGAATTATAATTGTACTACACTAAGATTTTGATTTTGTTTTACTCTATTTTTCTAAGAGTATTTTTACATGTTAATTCCTAAGTCCATCTTCGATGAAATAAAATTAAAAATAAAATATGCATGGGTGCCAATACGATTTTTCCAATTTTTAATAATAGAACTGCTTTTGTTTTGTTTTTTTTTTTTTAAAAAAAAAAAAAAATGAAAGAATTTAAAGTCCTAAGCTCTCAAAACTATTTCCGTAAATTAATGCAGATGAGTTTGCCACTACCCTTACATGAAATAAAAGGGTGAGAAAGGTATGACCACCCAAAATAAAATAAAAACATATTTAGAAAATGCAAATTTAAATCGAGTCGTCATGATTTGTGAACGACATTTGGTCATTTATATCATTTATTGGTTTGAATGCTATGCATTTTTCTCACCAGCTATTTGTGCTTTTACAAAATTAATTATTATTATTTTTAATCTATCCTACTTTGTTGTATTACTTTTACGAAATGATAACCATTTATATATATGCTTATATGCTTACTATATTTGATATATATAGCAGGAAATTAAATTTAGGTTGGGAGAGGGAGAGAGAGTTTCAGATGGAAAAAGTTGTTCCAAAATTTGATTGATCTTTTCTGTGGCAAAATCACAATAAGTAGTCAATGAGGCTGTAAAGTGTACTTTATTGAATGAATTGAATCTAACAGCCCCTGCAAACTCTAGATGGGTTGCTGGAAGCCATCTTAAGTTTGGATACAAGATCTCGAAAGAGGCCTAACAGAAGCGATTTGGTGAAGATGTCTGTTATCTGATCTTGTGAGGTGATAGACTGTAATTGTAAGATGTTCTGCAAAAGATGGCGACGGATAAAGTGACAATCGATCTCAATGTGTTTTATGGGCTCATGAAAGGCATCATTGTGGGCGATCTGAATGGCACTCCGATTGTCACGATAGATAGGAGTGCCGGTGGATGAAGAAACTTCCATGTCCTAGAGGAGCCATTGTAACCACAAAAGCTCAGAAGTGGCATCTGCAAGGGCTCTGTATTCTGCTTTGGTACTAGATTGGGCAACAATGGTCTGTTTCTTACTGCACCAAGAGATGAGTGAAGTACCTAAAAAGAAACAGTAGCCTGTAGTGGAACGACGATCTATTGGGTCTCCTACCCAATCAACATCCGCATAAGTGTGAAGGATAAGTGGTGACTGGCGAGAGAAATGAAGTCCATGAAATATAGTGCCCTTGATATAACGACGAATGCGAAGAACATCAACAAAATGTGTGGATTGCGGTGCAGCCATGAATTGACTAACTTTATGAACAACTTGAGAAATATCTGGACGGGTGACAATAAGGTATACCAAACTACCAACCAATTGTCGATACAATGTACCACCATGAAGAGGTTCACCATCAGAGGGAGTGAGTCTCATATTGGGCTTAAGAGGTGTATCCGTAATCTTGTTGTCCGTGATTTGAGCTTTGGCAAGAAGATCTAAACTGTACTTTGCTTGAGTAAGAAAGTAAACATCTGTAGCTGTAGTGATCTCAAAACCAAGGAAATAACGGAGAGATCCAAGATTTTTCATTTCAAACTGATGATTAAGAAACTATTTAAGATCTTGAATTCCTTGTTTATCATCCCCTGTGATGATCATATCATCAACATAAAGTAGGAGAAAAATGATACCACGATTAGTACGCTGAATTAAGAGAGCAGAGTCAAAATAGCTGGCAGTGTAACCAAGCGTAGAAATAGTGGTGCTGAACTTGGCAAACCAATCACGAGGTGTTTGCTTGAGTCCATACAATACCCGACGAAGTCTGCATACCTGATGATGAGAATGATGAAAACCAGGAGGAGGCTGCATGTAAACTTCCTCACATAGATCACCATTAAGGAATGCATTCTTAACATTTATTTGAAAGAGTACCCAATGACAATGACGGGAAACGACCACTACAATAAAAGTACGAACTGAGGAAATACATGCAACTGGAGCAAATGTCTCTTCATAGTCAATACCGTACTCCTGAGTAAACCCTCTAGCCTCAAGTCTGGCTTTATAGTGCTCAATAGAACCATCAGAACGAGTTTTAATCTTGTAAACCCATTTACTCCCAAGGGCAGACTTTCCAGGAAGCAAGACAACCAAATCCCAAGAATGCGTTTTGGTAAGTGCATCTAACTCTTCTTGCATTGCTTGCTGCCATAAAGGATTATAAGATACCTCACAAAAGGTGTGAGGTTCATGTAAGGTAGCTAGACCATGATAACAATGAAAATCACAAAGATGTGTCGGTGGAAAGCTTACCCTAGTGGAATGACGAGGATTTAGAGTAGGGGTGATGCCAGGTGCCTCTGAAGGACTAGAGGGTGTGGCTCGATCGAAGAAAGATCGACTGTGGATGGCGATTTTGGCAAATTGACTATGGATGGCGATTCTGACAAAACGACTTGGATGGCAATTATGACAAATCGACTGTGGATGATGATTCTAAATGAGGAGAATCATAAAAAGGATTTGTAGAAAATGTTAATGGAGGAATAAGAAATGCACTATTAGAAATATTGAATTTGGAAAATGTATGAAACATTTTGTGTTCCTAGAAGACAACATGACGAGAGACTCTGAGTCATTTAGCAATTGGATCATAAAACTGATACCCTTTTTGTCCAATTCCATAACCAATAAACTAACAAAGTTGAGCATGTGCTTGTAATTTTGTGTGCTCGTGAGGTTGGAAAAGAAGAAAACATGCATAATTAAAAACTTTAAGATAATTGTAGTCAGGTGGAATGCTAAAAGGCATTCATAGGGTGTTTGGTTGTGCAAGAGAGGTGATGGCACATGATTAATGGTGTATACAATAATGAGAGTTGCTTCCCCCCAAAAAGAAGCACGAATAGAAGCAAAAAGGGTGAGGGAGCGAACAGAGTCTAAAATATGGCAAAGTTTGTGCTCAACATGGCCATTCTATGGTGATGTGTGTGGACAAGATGGGTGAGGAAGAGTGCCATACTATTTGAGGATTTTAGAAAATGCCTTTTATTGATATTGCATAGCATTATCAGAATGAATTTTTTTTTGATATTTTGGGAAAAAAAATAAAGAACTAAGTTAAAACCATTTTGGCGAAATCACGATATATGTCAAGCAACTCAGAACGATGTTTTATAAATATATCCATGTGAATCGTGAAAAATCATAAACAAATATTATGAAATACCGTGAACCTCCTATGGTAGACACAGTAGAGTGTCCCCAAACATCAGAGTGAATTAGGTTAAAAGGTGAAGAAGCACAAGAATTACTTGTAGGAAAAGGTAAAGTAGGTGGTTTGCATAACTGACATGAAATACAGTTAAATTTCTCCGTTTCAACTTTTCCTAACAAGCCTTTGGTGACTAAAATTTGGATACTAAGAAAAGAAGCATCACCTAAGCGAGAGTGCCACAATTCAAGAGAATTGGAATGAACCTGTATAGATGCAACAGAAATGATGGAAGTAGGTAGATGAAGAGATGAAAGTTCGAACAATCAACCAATCTTACACCCGGTCCCAACAATCTGTCCCGTCCGAGGATCCTGTACAACACAACCATTAGAAGAAAATGTTATATTCAACCCTAACTTAGTTAATTGTCCAACAGACAAAAGATTGAGAGAAAGTTTTGGTATAAGATAAACACCAGGAATGGATAATTCAGAATATGAAACAGTCCCTTTATGACTAACAGTCATAGAGGATCCATCAGCCGTGTGAATGGCAGGTGAATGAGGTATAAGAGTGGGAGTAGTAAGAAGGGTCAAGTCAGATGTCATGTGAATGCAACAAGCTCCGTTAAAATACTAACATGATTATGTACCTGGTGTGGTAGACAGAGAAGGATTAGATACACCTTGTGTTTTGGTTGAAACCTGATTAAGAAGTCTTATGAGATCAGTTGTAGAGAATTTTGCCTCCCGAAAAGAGCCATCAATAAATGTATGTTGAGCTGATAAGGGTGCTGAAGAGGGTGCATGATCAGTATCGGCTAAAGTAGTGGTAGATTGAGGGAGTCGATGTTGTGAACGACAATAATCAAATGAGTGTCCAGAGACTCTATAGAAGGTACAATAAAAGTTGGACTTATTCTGTTTGTTCCCAAAATGATAGTTTTACCCATGATGACGAGAGGGAAAAGACTGATGTTGCATTAACTGAAAAGAAAGTGCTAGATGAGATGGAGTTTGCAAGGGCACTTTTTTTTGGCAAGCTCATGTAAAAGAGCTTGAGCAAGATAAGTCATATCAATATGTTGAATTTGAGACATTTAGAAATGTCAAATTAAGAAATGGACTACAAATCTAAAATCAACGTGAAAAACTGGGCTAGAATAGTGTTTTCAGAAAAAATTTCTGACAATGCTGATATGGCGCTGAGTGTTGATGTGGCAGATGATGTGGCTACTGACGACAGGTAACCTAAACTGCTAGTGTGAATCAACATTCTTTGGTCCAAACTGAGCCATGTGATATGATTGTCCTATATCATCTACAATGAATGAGTGTCCTAACTTATCACCACGAACTGTGCTCCTAGTACCCGGTCTATCCCATAGGCCTATTACATTGTCAAATGGATGACTCGATCAAACCTTAGAAGTACAAGATATGGGAATATTTAAAGAAGGTGTAGGAATTCCTATAGGTTCATCAATGGTGACCTCTAATTCCTCGTCACCATCCTCTTCAACCTCTTCACATTCTCCACCTAAATTCTCAACTCTTCCTTCCTCATGAACTATAGGTTCTTTTCTGTTTCCTAAAATTTCAAAATTTGTCTCTGTAATACCCTTAATTTTAAAAGGATCGTCTCGGCATTTATTTATTATTTTTATTGTATTTTTCGTGATTATTTGGTTTAATTATTTTTATTTATTGATTTAATTTAATTGTTTTCCTATGTGTCATGTGTTTTAAATTGAATTAAGTTATCTTTTAATTATTTAATTGGGTTATTTAATTGGAATTAATTAGTTGAGTGTATTTAATTATTTAATTGGGTTTTTAATTTAATTATGGTTTAAGTTACAGTTAGCTTTGGGTTGCAAATCACGTATAGGTAAGCCGCACTATGATAACCTAGATTGCTATATGGGCCGATTGACTAGAGTTTTACATTAGGGCTCTGGCTTTAATTAAACAAGTTTTAGGGTTTAGGTTTTTACGCCTATATATACATAGTTGTAATCTGTATTAAAGGTTGGAAAAAACCCTACTCACGTAACATAGATACAGAGAGTTACACAGTGAGGCTTTGGGAGAGCAGAAAGTTACACAGTGAGGCTTTGAGAGAGGACCAAGGGAGGATTTTGGTGGATTAGATCAGAACCAGAGGCTAGAAAGTTTAGAACAACGGCGACAAGGTTTTGGTTATAAAACTGTACAGGCAAGTTCTTATCTTCCTCCTTCCCTTTGGCTTGTGTTCTGTGCACCTAGACAGTCTCTAGGAGATTAATTGGCCTTAAACTGAACCATGCATGTTTTATATATGTTTTACTTGATCGTTTTATCTGCGAAAAATTTATTTACAAAACAATTATAGCACGTATGTTTTTCTTGACTCTGTTTTGGCATAACGTCTCACTGTTCCAATTTTTATTTTGAATCTTACTGAAATCAACCAAGGTCTGATTGGATACTAGATGTAATTTAAGACTTTAAATTTAAATTGGAGGAAGAACAAAGGGGTTGGGATAAAACTAATGTTGCAATTTAGTTTCAGTGTTGTTCTTCAACAATGCTAGTTTAAATGGCTTGATTAAACTCTGTAATTGTTTTCAAAATTATTGTAAACAATCTTGGGGAATGCTTTTAGACTAAATTAAGATTCCTAAGATTAGTTTTTAGAAACCAACAGAGTGGTAGGAATTGATCAAAGAAGGAGCGGACGGACTGAAACGAAGCAACGGGGACAGAGGCTCTCAAAGGAGGTGAGAGTCGGCTCCATGGATGTGGGAGCCGGCTCCCACAACAAGTAGAGCCAGCTCTAGGGAGTCCTAGAGCTGGCTCTAAGCTGAAAAAAAGCCTGCTCCAAACTTTGGAGCAGGCTCCCTTTTTATTTTCTGATTTATTTTAAGTTTTTTTAAATTTTCTACGTACTGTGCTTACTATTAGAGCATGGGATTTAAACCTATTGGGTCTGGGGTTCCACAGAGAGTTTAGAAGGCTGAATTTGGGGGTTATTAGGACCTTAAATTGATTAGGGTTAAATTCTAAATTGTCGGGACAAACAGTGTAAAAATTAAGACACTCCCTATGTTGTTAACAAATGGAAGATAAATTAATTGTTGAATTAAATTTCAGCAATTTGATGGAATATAATATGTTTATAAAACTTGTTTTAGAATGCATTCAAGTCCATGATAAGGTCATTTAATTATTAATTTTGATCTATGCATGCTTAGGAGGCTAGTTGCTGAATTATCAAATCGTTTCCTGCAACTATATGGTTAATGCTTGGATTTAAATTGCTGAAATATTAAACAATCTTCTGAAATTGTTTTAGAAATTTATTGGATATTAATAGGATTATTTAACCT